GAAGCTAAGCTAAAGCTAAGCTAAAACTAAGCTGACACTAAGCTGAAGCTAAGCTAAAGCCAAGCTAAAACTAAGCTAAAGCAAAATTGAAGCTAAGCTAAAGCTAAGCTAATGCTAAGCTAACACTAAGCAAAAGCTAAGCTAAAGCTACGCTGAAGCTAAGCTAACGCTAAGCTAAAGCTAAGCTAACGTTAAGCTACAGCTAAGCTAATGCTAAAGCTAAAGCTAAGCTAAAGCTAAGCTAAAGCTAAGCTAAAGCTAAGCTAACGCTAAGCCAAAGCTAAGCTAAAACTAAGCTAAAGCTAAGCTGAAGCTAAGCTAAAGCTAAGCTAAAGCTAAGCTGAAGCTAAGCTGCAGCTCAGCGAAAGCTAGGCTAAATCTAAGATAAGGCTAAGCTAACACTAAGCTAAAGCTAAGCTAAAGCTAAGCTAAAGCTAAGCTAAAGCTAAGCTAAAGCTAAGCTAACGCTAAGCTAATGCTACGCTGAAGCTAAGTTAACACTAAGCTGAAGCTAAGCTAAAGCTAAGCTAAAGCTAAGCTAAAGCTAAGCTAAAGCTAAGCTAAAGCTAAGCTAACACTAAGCTGAAGCTAAGCTACGGCTAAGCTAAAGCTAAACTAACACTAAGCTAAACCTAAGATAAAACTAAGCTAAAGCTAAAGCTAAAGCTAAGCTAAAGCTAAAGCTAAGGCTAAAGCTCCCAGGGGACTGGGGGAACCGCGGGGCGGGGACTGGGGGAACCGCCCGGGGCGGTTTCCATTGCCCAGCCCCTTTAGCTAACAGAGTAAGAACCCTTCTAGGCAGAGCCTAGGTAGGGAAAAATGTCTCCCGAAAAAACCATCGGAAGTGATTACATACACATTCGGTGCCGACTCGCTGTTTTCTTGGGCCGCTGAAGCCCCCCCCCACTTTGGGGCGTCGCTACGTCATGTTGTGTCGTGCTACGCGTTGATCTGCAACACCATGCTATGCCATGTAATGCTACGCCATGTTGCGACAGCCGATTGTGCGAACAGAGATCTACGCCATAGTAAGGGATGGGAGGGAGGGGTAGGACGTCAGACATGACGCGAGTGCACCTAGCCTGCCCTTCCCCCTTCCCCTCGTCCCCTCCCTTCCTTTCCCCTCCCCGCCCCTCCCCCTCCTCCTCGTCCTCCCTCCTCCCTCCCCCGCGCTTATCCTCGTCCGCCCGCCGCGCCCCGAAAGAGGTCCTCCTTGGGCAGCTCCACGAGGCACCACTTGGTCTCGGGCGGGGGCAGGCCAGCTTTGAGGTCGGCGACGTCCTGCCGGCGGCGGGGCGGCGAAGGGGCGGGAGCAGGCGGGAGGTTGGATGAGGATGAGGATGAGGATGGGGATGAGGATGAGGAGCAGGAGGAGGAGGAAGCGGAGAAGGACGAGGAGGAGGAGGAGGAGGAGGAGGAGGAGGAACAGGGGCGAGGGGAACCCTTGCATAAGGAATCCAGGGCCTGCAAGCCCGTAGAACACACATTGACGATATATCAAGGGTATCACCGCCGCCCTCATCAGGAATCCTCCAGGGTCTGAAACCTCTTGGGCACATTCCTGAACGAACGCCCCCATCTTATCTGACGTCCTAGCCCTCCCCCCATCCCTTAACACTGCGTAGATCCAATCTCTTTTCGTCCAGTCGGATGTCGAAGAGGACAACGAGGCCGAAAGGGTACACAATGTTTGGCATGGCGTATACTGGCATTGCATGGCGTAAGAGAGCACGGCAGAGCGCGGCATGGCATGGTGGTGCATGAGATAGCCTTGACGCCCCAATCCCTGGGGCGCTTGCCCCAAGGGGGCGCCGCCAGGGGCATCGGGAGAGTTTTGAGGCTGGGCTACCCATGTCACCCGACTTCGCGCATCGCGTCCCGCGATGCGCGACGCGCGATCACCTTCGAGCCCTCGCGCCCTCGCGGCGCCCTCTTGGAGAAGGGCAGCCGCTCTGCCCCAGGCCGAGACGCGCGACGCGCCATCATCCTCGCGCCCCCGACGGGCGAACTGGGCTGCTCCAGGGGCCCGTAGAGGCCCGCCCTGGGCTGCCTCCCAAGGCCGCCCCATGCCCGCGGCACCGAGGCCCTGCCACCGGGTCCTGGTCGGTGCACACGAACTCCGGGCCGAACGACGTGGCGAGGGGCTTCTCCTTCTCGAGCGCCGCCATTGCCCGAGAGGCCCGCAGCTGGGCTCGGTGGGGGCAGCCACCTCGCTCTGCGGTGCCTCGGCCCTGAGTCAGCGCGGGCGGCGGGGCGGGAGGCCGGGAGGGGGGAGGGCGGCAGCAGCAGCTGGGCAGCTTAATTGTGGTAGGCGGCCAGTGCTAGGTGGCACTCGCAGCACAAGTGGCACAGGTCGCACAGGTGGTGCAGCAATGTGTGCTGGTGGTTCTGGTAGTAGCTGTGACGGTGTAGTAGGGATAATAATACCCGCGGTGATGGCAACAGTGGTGGTAGCGGTGGTGGTAGTGGCAGGGATGGTGGCGGTGTTGGAGCCAGTGGC